CCGTGTTGAAAGCACATTGTTGGCTTCAGGCTCAGTGCGGAGGAGGGGCCAGGGCTGGGCAAACGCTGGCCGCTGCGAACTGAAGCCTAACGTGGCCGTTCGGGAAAACACAAATCCCCCGCCCACAGGCCCCGATGCTGCTCGCTCTCAGGAGCCCCCAGGATGGCGCCCCCATGCCCACCCACAGCCACGGCACGTGCTGCTCACAGAAAGCTCTATGCGTCACGGAAACCAAACTGGGTATTTTTTTGCCTTGGAAATAAGAAAAGGCATTATTCATGATCTTTAAATTTTCAGAAAATGTTTGAGGGGGAGGTGCTTAGGTTTTCTACATATTTACCTAATGGAGGTGCTGGGGATGGAACCCCGGACCTCGTGCACGCTGAGCACACGCTCTACCCCTGAGCCGTCCCCTCCACCCCATTAATGATCTTTATCACACACTTCCCAAAACTAAAAGCTAAGCCCCGCAGTGGGGAAGGGAGCAAACGCGGCTTAAGGGGATAAAAGCCTCAAAACAGACTCCAAATGTCTCAGTGATCCTTCCCCTATTTTCCCAAAGATTCAGGAAAACGACTTTAAGCTGAGTTACGAAAATGAGCCTGAATGAGAGAGACAGTGCTTGGGGCTTTTGTGGGGATGGCCCTGGGGACCAAAAGGGCTGATGAGATGGGGGGAGCCAGGAGCAGCAGGGACAGAGATGGGTGGGGCTGGGGGCAGATAGCCGGGAGCAGGAGGGAGAGGAGAGGGCTGCGGGAGCTGCTCCTGCCCGGCACACGTGCTGGGATATACGTCTGTTTTAGAAGTTGGTCCCAAAGCCACCACTTCCGGAGGGACGTCGCTCCTTCTGGAACTGCACTGTCCAATACAACAGCCATAACCTCACGTGGAGAAACTTCAATTTGGTTACTTGAAGGAAACGAGATAAACAACCTGTTCCTCGGGGACACCTGCCACAGGTCAAGTATTGGGAGACTGCAGTGCCTGGTAGCTCCCCTGTGGACAGCACAGGGAGGGACCACTACATCATCACCCTCAATTCAGGGTACCAGAGCATCATCGAAAGGAGAGACAGATCGTTACCCCAAGAGGCTCCACCACCTTCCCCAGGGGTGCTAGGCAGATCAGCTAACCTCCGTGTCTCTGGTCCCCCATCCATACCCAGGTAGTCACACTCCCCATTTAGGACACATGCTGGAAGGATTCCATTATCTCACATACGAAGATCACAGAAAACCTGGCTCATTACAGTAAATGCTAGCCAATACTATCTATTTTGGTGTCATGGTATGTACTACAGAGTCACAATGAAAGACACTGCAGATAGAGTCCATATTTTTTATGTTAAGAGACCTCCTGCGGATGAACATACTGCAAAGGTGGAAATAAGTCCTCGTCTAAAAAGTGGCAGAAGATGGGGGAGAGTACAGCTCAGTGGTGGAGTGCGTGCTTAGTGTGCATGAGGTCCTGGATTCAATCCCCGGCACCTTCATTAACAAATAAAAATAAATAAACCTAATTACCACCCCCAAATATTAACAACAACAACAACAAAAAGCGGCAGAAGATAGGAAGGGTGTCATCTCCAGAAGCAATAGCACTCTTACCGGACCTCGAGCTGCTGAGACGTCTTACTGCCTCACACTCGAAAGGAAGTGAAAAGAGGTCGGGGAAACACGGACCACAGGCCGCAAGTGAGCACAGCTCCGTCCCGCTGGCCCCAGGGATGCTATCTGGACCGCGTCCAACAAGCCCCGACTGCACGCTCTGATAGTGGAGACCTGACAATGGGGGAGTAAGCCGGACACCTTGCGAAGAAGCAGGAGTGAATGCCTTCCAAAGAAAATAATAATTAGGAGCAATAAAACCACAGATGGAACCTGCTTACCCAAAGTATTTCCAGGCTTGAGTTTTAAGATATAGATCCACGTTTGTACTTCAGAGACCTTCATGAGCCAGAATTTGTTATTTACACAGATATGGACAGAAATCTTGAGTTATGTTCACTACATAAAAACAAGCTATAAAATAACGTCAGAATAAAGCTCTTTGCTGAAAATGCTCTTTTTTTCAGTCTTAATATAAAGAAAACTTTAGTTGTGAATATTGATCATTTGATCCAGGCTGTCCACTTCTCCATGACTAATTAAAAAGTAACTATTTATCATAAGCCTCAGTTTAAAAGGTAAAAAAACTCTTATACTCATTTGCTTCATTACAAAATAACACCTCCTCCAAACAATCTATTTAGTATTCCATGTAAAAAGCGATGAGGTTATTTATAAATGTAGTTATCCAGAATTAAAAAAACCTCATCTTAGTGAGAAGAATAGATTCTACCTTGAATTGCAAAGCTTAGAAGTGATAATTAACCAGTTGACTATAGTTGTTAATTCAGTGATTTATCTGATTTTAACACTCAGAACTTACTCTTCTTTCCTCTGAAAGATATACAGTATTGCTGAAAATTTACTAAAGGCAGCCTGGAAAGGAGAAACTGCAAATTCAAAGTGGACAGCTCAGAAATTTCTAGCCCCAAAGTTTTCTTATTAAAAAAACTCACTCTCTTTGCCTTGATTAGTGAACTGGGAAATAAAAGTGTATTTATACTTTCATTGGTGTGTTTGAACCCTCTACCCTCTTTACGTTTTTGTACCTTAGTGTACGAGCAAGGCTCACTTGCTAATTTTATTTACTAAGAGCTAAAACCAAGATAAAAGACTTGGCGAAACATACCATAATGCACACAATCACAAACTCATTAGCCTTTCTATTACTGGATGTAAACGTCACCTTTTTCCCCTAAAACCTACCTGAGGCTGACTGGCTTGCTTCCTCCTTTGGCAAAGACACGAGACGTCCAGGTTCTTTTGGGGGGGATAATTAGGTTTATTTATTTTTATTTGTCCATTTTTCAACAGAGGTGCTGGGGATTGAACCCTGGACCTCGTGCATGCTGAGCACGCGTCCTACCACTGTTTAGACAGCTGGAAAGCTGACAGGGCTCGGCTGCCCGCAAGGCGGACTCCTCAGGACACATAGGAACAGGCTCTACATTTGTATATCTGTGCTTCCAAGTGGGTCTTAAGAATCTAGTATTTCAGGCACATCATTACCTTCACTATTACTCTTTCTCACTCAATTTGTCTCAGTCTTTTTTTTTAATGAAGAAAATGATCATAAACATTACTAAGAAAATAAGTACACACAGACGGAAGTATTCCGATTGCTCCCTTACGGCTGCTTGTACTGGAAGAGGGCTGGACAGTTGTTTCAATACTCAGGGAAGACTGCTACCTAATAAAAGAGTATTTCTGCTGGATATCCACGCGAAACGATGAAATATGGAAACTGTTATCAGGTAATCTCAGAAGATGGATTTTTTAAAACAAAACAATATTAGAATTGATAGAACCTTCATTCTCTAAACTGATTCTACAGAATCACATTGGATTCCCCAGGAAACGACGGCTAGAGAGCAATTTCTTAGAAACGATTTACTCATCTCTTCCAGTCTGAGAGGTTTCATTCAGATTTTCACAGAGATTTGGGAAAAGAAGCAGCTTTGAGGGTAGAAACATCGTCATCTATTTCCCTCCCAGGGAGGACACACTCAGCCTCTTTGTTGACAGATCCCAGGTTGCAGATGTGCTGCTATAAAGGACCTTTCTGTATCCAACAGGGCAAGACATATACCTGAAAACGCACGTCACTACCATCCACAGGGGTCACAAAGCATCGGCAGGGCTGCAGCTAACCAGACATCGCAGAGCTCGAATGTCAGCCTGCGTCCACCCCAGGGCACTCCCCACGGTGCCTAAAGCCAGCACTTGTTTAACGCACACCCAGAGAGGCCGTCCACCAGGAGTCACTTGCGGAATGCAAAGTTCTTGTTTTCCCTGGTGTCTGCAGCTCATTGATCAAAAATCTACGCAGAGACGACTCAACTTCATGGGATGGTTGTCTGTCGGGAAAAGGACTCCTCTTTTAAAAGTCACTTAAAATTAAAAAACACATCTTTTGTTCCTTTCTCCAACAGGAAGACCTTGATGCATTATTTAGAACAAAGTGATAACAACTGTCCACAACCGGTAACGTCGTCAAAAGCTCATAAAACAAAGCAAATGGACGAGGACCTCTGAACGTGCTCACGACCAAGAAGGTGCCCAGCACAACCGACTCTGAAAACCTGCCAGAATGCATTTTCTTCACAAACTGTGGTTCAGATGAATGTATTTAAAATGCTCCTGGGAATAGCAGACACTCAAAATGGGGAAAGTAACAATACTAGTGGGCATTGTCAAAGGATGTTCAAAGCCATGGCTGGGAAAAGAGTTGCTCCCTTGGATCTGGTTACCTAAGACACTGCCAGGCTCCCTTCCGGACCAGCAGTGGTGACTCTCGTTTCAAGAAAAGGAAGGAGGGCCTGTAAACAGTAGCATCACCACTTCCTGTCATCATGATGCTCTACCTTTACATCTTTAGTCAAATGTAGATTCCTCTTAATTCCTGCAAATAAACCTGAATGATTCTATCCTTTCAGTGAAATACGATAAACACTAAATTACAGAAAACAATGACATTTATTGAATTGCAGTTATTAGAATCTATTTCTTTTATCTCAGGAAGACACATGAATCACAAGTATTGTAAAGGGAATTGCATGATCTCTGGCTACAGGGACATGACGAACCAAGAAATCTTCACTAGTAATTAACTGAAAGAATTCAGCTGAAAAGGACATGTTGCAGATACAAACTACTATAAATAAAAGAGATAAACAACAAGGCCCTTACTGCATAGCACAGGGAACTGTATTCAGTATCTTGCAATAACCTACAATGAAAAAGAATATGAAAAAAGTACGTGCGTATAACTGAATCACTATGCTGCACATCAGAAACTAACACAACATTTTAAATCAACTGTACTTCAACAAAAAAAACAAAAACAAAAACAAAAACACAGATGGACAACTTTACCACACACCCGTTAGTTACCTTGGACAACTCCATGCCAGGCCCACACTGCTTGCAGAGAACACAGTTTCCCGATCGATCCCTGAATTCCTGCTGGCCACAGTCTCCTGTTTCACACGTTCCTTTACATGCCTGCAACGAATGTTCCACAAAACGTTATCTTAAAGTAACTTAATTCTATTGTTTCTGAGACAGGAAGGCTTTCTTCAGTATTAGTTACATAATCACTGAATGTAAACAGTAATTCGGACTGAGGCCAATTCAGTCTTCACTTTAGGAAGAAAACCACTTTCTGAAAAAGTCAGTGGAACAAACAACAAGTCTGATTCCTCTTTGCACTCCCTGAACGAGATCTCCCTTTGCTAAGTAAGAAGACACACAAAGGAATGGTTATGCAGAGATGCAAGGTCCTTCTGCAACCCGAAAAATTCTGAATTCAAAAATTACATTCTTTGATCTTCAAGAAATACAAACATATTCACATATAATGAATTGAAGACATAGGTAAATGAAACAGACCAGACCCAAGAACTCCACTGTTATCCTTTAGACAGATTTGCCTTCCAGTTCTGATGACGAAGTTTCCACCTCTTTCAGTTGAATTCCATTTACTTAAGAGTTCATCTTTCAAAAAATACCATCTGACAATCATGAGATCACTAAAATTCCTGACAATGATGAAGATGACAGTGAGGGCTCAACTCTCTGGACTCTTCAAAGTACAAGAGTGATGGAAACACGAACTCACTGTCTTACTGATCCTCATTTACTTCTAACGTGGGTCCTAACGGGGTACTTTGGTTCACAGCATAGGACTTGAATGGAAAGATTACCTACATTGCAGAAACAAGGTTGTAAGTCATTTTCCAAAATATTGCCTTTTATTTCTTATTTTATCTGAAAACAGTAAGTTCTTTGTATACACTATCATTCTACAAAAGAGTGTACACTTGTTTCTTAACGGACAGTATTTTGTTAAAAATGTTGGTCTTCACAGAATCTCTGACGGGCGATAACGTTCAGTTCAGACTCTTAGGCTGAGCAGGAACTCCCTCGGTAACACTCCTGACTGTAACTCGGTCTTCGTAAATGACAACAGAGAACGTCAGGAAGCACTGGGGGCACAGGGACTCTGTTTGGTACGACGCCTGTCACACAAGGTGCACGGAAACTGTTTTTGACAGTTGTAACAACGGGCAGTTATTCACATAAACCACCGCCACCTTGAAGCAGAGACATCTGCAAGGACGTCAGTTAATCTCCTTACACAGAACCAAAGTCTTCAGCTCTAGAGCGGCAGGCAGGAGAACTCACGGTGGGGTTCAGGACTAGAACGTGATTTGGGGCTAACGGTCTAGTAATCACCTCCCGCCTCTCTTCACCCCTCTGACAACCAATCTTGGAGGAGTTCAGTTTTATTTAAGAGGGAGAAGAGGCTGCCCTCCACCACAAAGACCCTGCACTTGCTTTGAAAAAGAAACATCACAGTGTCTCTTCCAGACCGTTTCTTCCACTGTTTACAACCTCAGCTGCAGGAAGGGACGTTTTCCTCACATCTCCCTGGATCTCAGACTCCAGTCGGACCCCACTACCTCTTGCTTGGTCTTCCAAGAAGACTTCAGGTACTGTCTTCAGTGGAAATAATTTTTTTATATTTGTAGATGATGACTATCTCCAGATTAAATGTCTCAATGATTCTTTTGAACATCTTCATAGACCTTCTGTGTTAAGCTTTCAAACATTAAAATTCTCCATCCATCTTTGAGGCTTTTTGGAACCAAGAGGGATATAAACAAATATATTAAAACAATAGAATTTTATTATTTTTTTAAGTTCTCACTTATTTTGGGTGGGTAATTTATTTACCTTATTTATTTATTTTTAGAGGAAGTACCTAGGACTGAACCCAGGACCTCGTGCATGCTGAGCGTGTGCTCTGCCTCTTGAGCTACACCCTCCCCCTCCCCAACAGGAGCATTTTAAGAATCAATTTCAAATTCTTCATAAACTGCAAAGTCATGGGCCCCACACTCAAAGCTCCAGTCTTGTTAGTCTAGGCTGTGCTGTGAGGCCCATCTGCCTGTAAACTCAACGCAGCCTTAGTATCACGCGGCTCCAGGTAACGTTGTGATTTTCTGACTTCATCTAGATTTAAACACAGAATTGCAGGAACTGTTACAAAAGGCGAAGGCCCAACAGCAACCCTGGATTTACTAACTAATCACGAGAAAATGTAATTTGAAAAAGGGTTTAAAATACGTGATTGGAAATAGAAAAGAGACTGGATCCTACTTATATACATTCTTACCCCACATTCTTATGAAAGTGAAGAGTTGACTTACCAAACCGGCTAGCAAGACCAGAATCGGGAAAAGTGCCTTCTGCCGCTCCAGTAGGACTTCAAAAGCCATTGCTCTTACTAAACGCCTTTCTGGCTGAAGGGTTCTGAAAGATAAGAAGATGCAGTGAACATTAGTAACACCAGTGAGTGCTCTGTACTTACTCTACGGTGTTTCCCACTTACTGTATACACTACGTAATGTTATTTATGTCTTAAAAGAAAAGTCACCTTTAAAAAAGATCCAAGAGACAAATAATATGCAATTCTTTAAAACTTTAGGTTATAAGAACTGAAACTTTGTCCACCCACCCATCATACACAAAACTCCTACTGGCTCTGAATTCCCAGACCATCCATGGCTTTATTTTCTTTCTATCCAGGTCTCTACAATGTCCAGTCAACTTCACCCAGAAAAGAATTACATTCAAACTGCGACTTACAGAAACCCAACAGGATAATAACAATGATAAGATAACAACGAACACTGCCAAGCGCTATATGCCAGGTACTATGTTTAACGTGACTTAGTTCATCCTCACAAGTACTCTAGAAGGTTAGTACTACCACTATCCCCATTTTAGAGATGGGGAAACTGAGGCTCAGGGAGGGCTGAGTCACTTGCCTGAGGTCACATCGCTGCTAGTAAGAGGCAGAGCTGGATGCAAACCCAAGTGTGTGGCTCTGGTGTCCCTGTGTCACACATGTCCTGCAAACAACCTGCTCCACTTAATAAATACACTGTACCCGGGTGTCAGGGCTTCCGCTCCACCAAGAAGCAGAAGCAGCTACTACCTGGCACCGTGAGCTCTTCCAAACCAGTACAGGTAGATTGTCTATCAACAGAAAAATGAATATTCATTTAAAAACACCTAAAGATCATTTACAAGTGATGAAGGTGGAGACACTCACCTGACATTTTAACAAAAGATAAACGAAGCCTCTTTATCTACAACGGAGAAACAAACCCGTTGTGCTTGGTTTTCCCAATTCACACAAGGTCAAGAGAAGAGATGCATTTAACACATGTTTTTTAAGTGAAGACTGTCCTGGGAGCGCCAACCGTCAGGCAGACACAGCGGTTCCGTTCCTCTTTAACAGAAACCTGGAGCAGGTAACCTGACGGCCTAAAGAGAAGCCCCGAGCAGAGAACCAGTGCCACGGGCCGAAGAGCCCAAGAAAAACAGTAACAAAAACAACAAAGCAAGCGGACGAGCAGCCAGCCAGGGGTACACCCGGACCCAGAGGCACAACCCGGGTGGTCAATCCAGCTGCCCGAGCAGGTCCAATGATCAGGGCAATGAAAACCCATTTTTAGCTTGGCTGAATGAATGACCCTTTTGAGTGAACTCAAACAGCTTTTTTTTTTTTCGCTTTTGCTCTTCTAGCTTTTTGGTCATAGCTTTTTTTCCCTCCTTGCATATCTCAAAATCATCCAGCAAGCACCCAACCATGCAACCTGCTGTGTAGACACAGGATTGGGGTCAGAAGATAAAATCACATTCCCTGAAAGGTAGGCTTTAGGCTCTCTCTTTCTCAGCATGGTCCTGCATTTTTTTAATGTGCTGATTTTTTAAAAGTAAAAAAAAAATCTATATAGATTAAACTAACATGGAAAAGAGGGTATAAATACCAAAGCATTTACATAAAATATGAAAAATAAAGAGACATATAGCCTATAATATAATAAAAAGAATATGAAAAGGAATATATATACATATATAACTGAATCACTATGCTGGACACCAGAAACTAATACAACACTGCAAATCAACTATACTTCAATTGAAAAAAAAAAAAGAAAGAAAAAACATAGTCGGTGCATACCATAATCCAGCAACTAGTTTGGACAGAAAACTCCACTGAGATACTGTGCTCGTCACTGTGGAGGGCAGACAAACGCTGTAGCATCTTCTAAAGACAGTGCCATGCACATTAAGCTACAAGTCATGGCAATATGATTCTATCTTCATAAGAGACACCCATTTTATGTACAAAAATGAACATGCCAAAATATTATCAATGGCTTAGGTTTATACTGTGGCAATCCGGATGAATATTACCTTCTGTTCCCTAAAAATTCTTTGTAAATATCTCATTAATAATGAAAACAATATATGTACAGTGCCCTTGGGGCAAAAAGGTAATTAACACGGTCCTTCTCGAGAGTTTATAAACTAAAAAAGGTCATGAGATAAAAACCACATAAACACTACCAAAGAAAGGAGAAAATTAAGTAAAGCACTGTGATTTTTGCATCATAAAGGTCTTTTTTAGATGCTAGGATAGAAAAAAAATCAATGGAACTATAAATCCAATGTGCCGGTTTGCATTCTCTTCCCAACACACATGCTAAACTGAATAGTTTGAATGGGAAATACAAAAGGAGCATTGCTACGCCTAACTTTTCAGGGGCACAGGCAGGTCTGTCCCTGCAAGTTATCTTCTAAAATCCCTATAGCCTGGTAACCATTGGCCTGCTGGTCTCACCACTGGTTACCACTCCCACTGCCCATCCAGCTCAGCCATGCCCCAGTACCCACATTTCTTCTGGACACCATGATCTGCCCTCCTGCACAGGCTGGAACTGTGGTCTGGAGAGCCTCTCCCTGTCCAAGTCCCTCTGAGGACCAGCTCGGCTCTCTCTGCTGATGCTGTCTGTCCATAATCATGCAGAGAAGAGAGCTGCTCGCAGTGTCCCCACAGCCCCTCTCCACATTCACAACAGTATCTCCCACACTATGTATCAATTTTACTCCGCACATTGAATGCTCCTTTAAAATAGGGTCCATAGCAGAAAAGGGAACTCCTTACACTGTTGTTGGGAATGTAATTTGGTGTAGCCATTATGGAAAACAGTATGGAGATTCCTTAAAAAACTAATCTTCGACAAAGGAGGCAAGAGCATACAATGGAATAAAGACAGTCTCTTCAACAAATGGTGTTCGGAAAACTGGACAGAAGCATGTAAAGCAATGAAGCTAGAACACTCCCTCACACCATACACAAAAATAAACTCAAAATGGATCAAAGACTTAAACATAAGACAAGACACAATAAACCTCCTAGAAGAAAATAAAGGCAAAACATTATCTGACACACATCTCAAAAATGTTCT